AAAGTAAAAAAATTATTCCAAATAGATATCTTTTATTTTAAATGATTTTTTTCATCATTGGGGAAGCAAAATGCTGAATGCTAAAATAAGAAAGGGTTAATGGTAAAGATCTCTCAATTTAGATAAATGTAATTTATTTACAAAAGAGCCCAGTGTTATTAAAATAAATGGATATTAGCACTTAATATTTCTTCTTTTTGGAGGTTAGTGGGGAGTCTCATAGCCCAGGCTGGCTTCAAAATCAGTATGATTCCAAGGCTACCCTTGAACTCATGATCCTCCTGCCTCAACACTCCTAGTGCTGGAATTACATACATGTACTGTCAAACCCAGCATCACTGTATTCTTAAGCACCTGTTCAATATGCAAGCCTTATAAATTTTGGGGGTAAGCACTGAAATATTTCATATGGATTACATTACTCTATTTGCAGTCACCATCCTATCCACTAAGAATGTAACAGTAAATGACACAGATAAAAATCTATATATTCTTAGGCACGGAGTTTTCACCAAGATATCCATCACCAATTGCTTCCCAGTGACTTGATTTAGAGAAAACATGATTTGTACTGTTTTCTAACTATAGCATCCACACTCCCCAATAGATAAATATACAGATTGATGAAAACAGGGTTGATGATAAAGATACAGAGAAATGGGTGGGTTTTGGAAAGTAAGACACCACTGTAGATAAGTAGGTTTATACCATGCTTTGTAATCAGATCTTTCTTGAGAAAGCAGGTTCTTCCAACTTATGTAATCGAACGGTAATTTCATAAGAAAAGGAATGTGCTTATTTTCAGGCAAATTCCAACAACATATGATATGTATTAACATGAGCCTATATAAACACTGACCCTAATATCAGTGTTTTTCTCTTTTAACTTCCAGGAATTGTATTCTGTTTGCTTAAAGACAGATTCTTAACAGAAAGGAAGGGGAAGGGAAGGGAGGGGAGGGAAGAGATTACTTTTAGATGAGAATTTAACATAGGTTTTACATCATATATTCCGTGCAAGTTTCCCAAATATCTAAATTATCATACTTATATCTAAACTTATTTTGAGCACTTTCTCCATCAGTAGCAACCTTAAACTTGCTTTATGCCATTGTAAGAAAGATTTGGGGAAGGAAAGAAGACAAAGAAAATGCTAAACCCACCTCTTGACCTGATTTTCCTGAATTATCTGAATGTAAGGATTCAATTTCTCCTTCAATCATTGCAGCTTCTAGGCACTCATGCAGATCTTTGAATGCATTGACCTGAAGTGGATACTGACCAAACATTTCAGTGTTTTCAAATTTTTTTCCTATAGGAAGGGTAGAAAAGTTAAAGCTTCTCAATACAACTTTTCAGCTACTAAAAGTATATATATGGATTCTTTCCTAAACTTAAAACAGTTAACAATGACAATACACCAAATAATCAGTTAGTATAACTTTCCTATTGGCTTACACATATAGGCATGTACATTCATAGCCAGTCATACACAACATTTACACACAACATATATGAATGTAAACACATATATAGAGAGATAGAGATATGAACTCTTTCAAAAAGCACTTCTTCAGGCTAAAATACTATGCTAACACTGGCTATGTGTTGGGTACGTGTATATATACATGTGTGGCAGTAAACTCTTAAAAGGAGTATGAATTTGAACTGACAAAACTAAGTTTTGTTTGTAAAATATCGTACACATTCATTTCATGTACTTATAATCCAACTAATGATTCATCAATACACTTGTTATAAAAAATATGGAATAAGGGGCTGGAGAGATGGCTCAGCAGTTAAGAGCACTGACTGCTCTTGCAGAGGACCCGGGTTTGATTCCCAGCACCCACATGGCAGCTACGAACTGTCCGTAACTCGAGTTCCAAGGGAATCTGAAGCCCTCTTCTGACCTCTGAGATACTGCATGGCACAGGTGCACTCACATACATGCAGGCAGTATACTCATACACATAAAAAAAAAATAAAAATAATAAATTTTTAGAAATGGAATAAAAGTGCTATGCAAGTATATAGGAAGAGCTAACATAGTGTTAGGAGATGTATAGTAGGGCAGTGGAGACTTCCAGAGCAAAACAAGAATTAAATTGAGATGTGAAATTGAATGGTGTGTGGAAGGCCTGATTGTCATGGGTGTAGAATATTCTTGGCCATAGAACAGAATAACCGCGACATTAAGGCTTCAAAGAATTTGGAATACTTAAGGAATCAAAGGAAGGTTTGAAAAGTTTGCAGACAGAGTGATGACAATGAAGTTAGGTGGGGGTCAAGAATGATAATATCTTACAGTCCTGCTTGGAATTTTCTGTCACAGTATTCAGTAAAATAGAAAGCCATGGAAGAGTCAGACCTATGAGTAGCAGAATTAGAAGCCTTCATGGATTCTGGATGAAGTAGGTGATATACTATTAAAAGACTGTTGCAGAATTCATCCCAAAATAAAATTTACATGGAATTGAGTATAAACATACATACACAGACACTCACATTAATATACACAGTGGAGCTGGGATTAACTGGCTGGCTTACAGAAAAGAGAGCAGACAGCAGTCAGAAAGATGAGAATGACACATTCCTAGATTTCTAGTGTGGACAACAGATGGTTTCTAGGGACTGAAAGCAGCACCAGTCAAGAGGAACCAAGGACATTTTGTCCCTTTGTTCTGGAGCAACAATATAAATCATTGGCAATAGCCCAAGAAATTTCCATCTAAAGACAGTGGGTACATAGTCTACACCTGGGACTGGTAGCCTGGTGAAGCAGAAGAACTGCTAGTGCAAAATCAGGTTGATGAAAGAGACTGTCCATGGATAGGAGAAAACTAAGAAACCCATGTAATGCCAGAGGACCTTCTTTATACACAAGAAAACACACGCACGCACGCACACATTCATCTCATAAGACGTACCCACACAGGTAGGAAAAAAAAGCCAAGCAAATGTGATATCCCAGAAACCAAAGAATTTTGCTTTTAATGAAAAAGCAAAATAGAGAGGTGAAGAAGAGCCAATGCCCAATGCCTTAATAAACGACAAGTGTTCAGTATGACAACTGAAAGACATTCAATGGATTTGACCATATGCAGGAAATCAATAACCTTAGAAGATGCCCTTTAGAGTTGTGGGGCCAGCAGCTAACATAGGAAATGTTGAAGAAATGAGGAGTAAGCAGGTGAAACCAACTCCTCATTACAAAGGGGCTTAACTCTGAGTAGAAATGAAGTTTAAATGCTCAAAAAAGGATTATCAGAAGGGATTTGCTTTTTAATTTTTAAGATGTGAGATGCCAGAACATGTCTAAATACTGAGGTGAAATAGAACAGAGAGGAAGAATTTAAAGACTCAGAAATGTGAGAGAATGGAGTAAGTCTGAATGAAAACAGGACACAGAATTCAACACAGAAAAATGGTCCCTTGATATGATGTTTGACAGTTCCTTTATTTCTAAAGAGAACAATGAAAAGGATGCAGTGGAGGTGTGAACAGATAAAGAAGCCTGAGGCTCCTATATGAGGGAAGTAGAATTAGATTCAGAGCCTTGGGGCAGGTTTCATTGGCTTCACAGTAAATTTATGAAATCAGAAAAGCTGTTTCTCAGAGAATGAAGAGACAAAGAATTGAACCTGAAATGAGTGGGAAAAAATGAAAATAGTCCCTAAAGAAGATATGTAGTTTGGTAGGAGAGGTTACAAGCACAGGTAGGCGACACTCACTTCTGTAGGGGCTCCTAGTAGCCCCAGCTGGCCTGGAACTCACTTTGTAGACCAGGCTGGCCTTGAACTGACAGAGATCTGCTTGCCTGTGGCTCCCAAGGACTGGGATTAAAGATGTGTACCACCAAGCCTGGCTAAGATTCTGTACTATCACCATGGACATGATCCATTACAGCTATCTAGAACTATTTATTACTCAGCAACTTTCAGGTCCTCACTATATGGAGAGCTGAGGCGAACAGGTTAATAAGAGCTGGACAACAGTCAGGAAGGAGGCACCAGAGGGAATGGAGAAGAGGCAGTTTAAGGGTGATCTTGACTGAACACCAGGAAGAAAAGCGAGTACAGAAAAGGACTGAGAGTAACAAAGAGAAGATGTCAATGCAGTAGAGGTTCTCCAAATGCTGAGAATGTTCTGACAGGAGAAAGCTTTAGTAAATAAACAGCATTGCAGATGAAAACATGACAATAAGAAAGTACTCTAAAAATCAATTCTATTCACTACAACAAACAGTTCAAGTGGAAATGTATTAAAGCTACATTGATTATCTTAACAGCTGTGAAGTAAGTGACTGACACCAAGTATAAAGATGCAGTAATTGCTGTGAAGAATCCTACTACAGACAGAAAGGCTCGGAAGGATATAATAAACAGTGCCCAGTTTCAACCTGCTTGGACCCAATTCCTGATTTCAACAATCCCACCAGATAAATCAGAACTGTCAGAAAATTTAATGCAATATACTAGGTAAAACATTTCACTTATAATGATATGTAGCATTTGAAGCAAAAAAAAAAAAAAGTACTTAACCTTATTATAAACTTCTAAATGCCTAATACTCAGTTTTGTATCTGCCTTATTTAAGGTGATTAAGGAAAAACAAATTTATAAATTTTATGCTTTGAGCAATCTGAAAAATTCATTGTGACACTTGGGGGAATTTTTTTCATATATTTATAGCTTGGGATTCAAAATATTACAGAAAATTATACTTCCTCAGTCTGGTTTCCTTCCTTTCTGAGAGAAACCAAACAGAAACTTAAGAGGCCTAAATAATTATGCTATTATGACAATAAAAACTTAGGAAGCCAAAATTTTAAGCAACTACTAAAACAGAGTATGTAATACCATTCTTAACTGGTTTTTCAAAATGAAAGTACTATCTGTTTAAAAATGAGTAAGGATTTTATAATCACACTACAATACTCAATGCTAAGTTGCTAAATTCAGTTTTTCTTTGTTTGGTCTTTTTGAGAGAGGGTCTCCCTGTGGCCCCAGCTGTCCCATAGATCAGGTTGACCTTGAACTCACAGAGATTACCTGGCTCTGCCTCCCAAGTGTTGGGATTAAAGGTGTGCGACACCATGCCCAGCAATTCAAATTTCAAAAAGTAAACACCATACCAAGACTGTCATTCAATTCCAGTGCAGGTTGAGAATCCTATATCTGAATTTCTTGAAGACTTTCCTTCCCTTTCTCCTTCTCCTGAGCACTGGGGAGAGAAACTTGTATGTTGTATATGCTAGGTAAGCACTCTACCAGCGAACTGCTTCCCCATCTGAGTTGAATAACTCTAATCTGAAAAATCTAAAATGGCAAATGCTAGAAAATTTAAAAATCCTGAGTGTCCTGTCAGCTCTCTACAATCTACTGAATCTCTGCACTGTGAAAGCTCTCAGTATTATGAAAGCCCATTCACTGGAAATAGTTTTAGGATAAAATGTAGTACAGTGTGAACACACACTCCGTACCTCCCTTTTCATTTGGTAACTTCTGTACAAATGATTGATAAAAGCAGTGAAGCAGGGGCTACTAGACAGAGCAGATCCAATTAAAATTAAAACCACCAGCACACACAGCCAGTCTCAAGATAAAAGAGCTAATGGATGTCCTTTCACTTGCAATAAAACATAAAAGTTTAACTATACCTTCAAGCACTCCCACAGCAAGGAATCTTCCATAGAACAACTCTACCATGGGATTCTTTGGCTTTTCTTCATCCCTAAAGCATGTAAAAAAGTATAAATATGCTTATAACTTTGGTACCTATAAATAATTGAGAAAACATTTAAAAGGAAGCATTAAAAGAACCAATATATGACAAGATGGTAACATTCATACGGCTATTGTACACAGGGTTCTGTTATTTATTATGTCACCTTCGGCAAGGTACTTAAACTTATTCTTCAATTTTCTAACCTGTCAACTAAGAATAATTACAGTAATTGAACTGGCATGATGGAGATGAAGGCTGGAATGAGTTACTCCATGGACCAAACTTAAGAAGAGCAGCTGACTATGCTCACAAGGTGCTCGCTCTCTATTGTTCTCGTACACCTCAGTCAGACAATTTTATGTCTGTACAATGCTAGCCTTATTGAGCAAAGGAGAAAAACACTTTTAATTTGAATAGATTTCTAAAAAAAATATTTAAGTCATTTCCCACAGAAAAGTGAATAAATGTAAAACAGCAGCTATCAGTGAAAACAGCAGCTATCAATGAAGGCCAGTCCCGAAACAGAGGTACTAAGTAGTGGCAGCCATTCTTCCCAAAGCTGATGCAGCTTGAAGAGCCAGTCACCTCTGAAACTTTCCAAACTGTTCAGCATGGGTTTTCTTGTCTATTTTCTTTGAGGGAGAAAGCAAAATCAGCAATTTTTACATCATCTTTTTAGGATTTGTACAATGTGGCTCTAAAATCAAGTTTTCTTGATCTTACTGTGTCAGTTTGCTTTATTCACAACTATATAAAGAAATTTTCTTCATTGTGTTTAAATTAATAAACTGACTTGTGAAGTTTTTTGAAAAAGAGGCAAACATCTGTCTTGCTCAACATCTTGCTCAACATGTTACACAGTCATTCTGTGATCCTTAGATCTATGGTGTTAAGTGCTTCACACAGACTTAACAGCGACTCCAACAGGCAGTGTGCTTGTCTTGAATGTTCAAAATATTTTACAGCCCTTCAGTTTTAGGTACATAATAAGATGTACAATCCTGCTCACTTTTAATTTGATTTTTAATAATGGTTTTAAAACACACAGAATTTACCATATTAACCATTTCAAGGCTACAGTTCTAAAATGTTAGGCATACTAATCTTATATAACCAATCTCTAGAACTATTCTTCTTGCAAAGATCAAATTCTATATTCATTAATCAAGTTACTTTTCCCCTCTTCCCAGCCTGATACCAACTGTTCAACTTTCTGCTTCTATGAGCTTGACAACATGCTATCTCATACATAGAAATGACCCTATGTTTGCATTTTTTTTTTGACTAGCTAAATTTCACTTAACATATTTTCCTGTTCCATCTAGATTAGGGTCAGAATTTCCATTCTTTGAAAGCTGAATAATCTCCTATTATTTGTATATATCACATTTTGCTCAATGAACATTTGGCTATTAGAATCAATGGATATTTGGCTATTAGAAATAATGTTGCTATGATCATAGGTATACAAATACTGCTTTCAAACCCTGTGGTAGTTTGAATGAGAAGTGTCCCAAGTATTTAAGTATTTGGTCCCATTTGGTGGCACTATTTGCAGAGGTTTAGGAGATGTGGCCTTGCTGGAGGAAGCATGTCACAAGAGGTGGGCTTTGAGAATTCATAGTTCCAGTTTCTCTCTACTTCCTTGGCATCCTTGAAGATGTGAGTGCTTGTCTTCCTGCTCTGGTCTCTTTCTGATTCCCCTGCCATTGGGGACCCTCCTTCCAGAACCATAAGCCAAATAATCTCTTCCTTCTTTCTATAAGATGCCTTAGTCATGATATTTTATCTCAATAACAGAAAAATAACTAATACAGACCCTGTTTTCAAATCTTTGGAAGCAAGCAAAGAGTTTCTTTTAGTACCCTGAAGCAAAAATGCAAGATCATATGGTAATCTATGTCTAATCCCTTGAAGCACCACCACACTATTTTCTATGGCTGTTGTATGTCAACATTACAAAAAAATTCAAATGTCTCCACATTATCACTATTATTATAATTATAGTATTATTGTTTTGATAGCAGTCACTTAAAGGGTATGAACTGTTCATTCACTCTACAATTAACAATGACTTGCTTTTACCAACAAAATGGGAGCAAATGTGGTATTTGGCTTTCCTGAGCAGAACCTTTGAGAGTTAGTGTGATATTTCACTGTCAGGATGATTCTGCAAGTCTATGAGGGATGACACCTCTGCTGGCCTGTAACCCTAAGTGAGCAGACAGCAGAGCACCTTGCTGACATATATGGTTTACATGTGGACATTGTGTAAGGCACTAGAGTTTGGAGGTTGTTGCCAGCCACATAATAATACAGCCCAATCAGAGAACTTAAATCTGACTATAATATTGAGGTACTCTAATAGAAGAGACTTAATCTCTATGCATCTTTATACTAAAGATTTTTCTAAACTGTGATAGTGAAAAAAACTTGAAACTGATTTAATGTCGCGAAAAGCCTTTCAGTTCAAAGACTGAAAAGTCTGAGTCTTTAGATATAAATATTAGTGGGAATACCACTCCTGTGGCCTCATTATTTCCATGTTTAAAAAATATTCAACATTCTGGTGGCAGAAGCCACTGGGTGTTGAATGGCTATACTAATTTTAAAGTTATTTTCAAATTGTCTGTGTGAATTCAGGCATGCTCTCCACTGAAATTTACCCAATAATCTTCCCTAAGGCATCAGGCAAGAACATTTCAGAAACTATCTACCTTGTTCTTTACATTTTCCTGGATATTCTTCTGAATGTCAGACAATGAACCTCAGGAATGCTCTGCAGTTACAGCAAAAGACATGGAAGAAGCACAACTGAGAAGCAGGTAAAAACACATGAAAGTCCTATGAAGAAAGAGATGCATCCGTCACCTGCATGAAAGTAGAAGAAAACTAGTCTGATATCAATGTCAAAGACAAAGAAACTAAACTCACTGAAGAAAACTTTTAAGTATAATCGCAGGAGTACAATAGCATAGAAAGGTAATTGAGACTGTTTTGGGTCAGTGTTTCCCCAGTTGTTTAGTCTTTGGTACAAAGATGATGCATGCAAAACACTGGGAGAAATGGATGTGTTTCCCATGATCAAAGAAACAGGATGAGTTCCTCCAGGTACTCATACACCAGCTTGCCTGAACAACTGGAAAGCCTTCCCTTGAGATGGGCATAGCAAGTGGTTCATATTAGCTTAGCTCCACAAAGAAAGAACAAACCAAAATCTACTGAGAAATAAATGTGAAAAAGATGTATTTCAAGTAAAATTTGATTTCAGAAAAAATGGTAAAAATTATCACTTCACATCAATCCATCACTGAGGGAAGCTGGGGCAGGGGCAGGGACTTAGGGGGAGGTAGAAACTGAAGCAGAGACCACAGAACACTGCTTACTCACTTTTCTTATATAGCTCAGGCCCACTTGCCCTTTGGATGACACCAGCCACAGTGGGCTGGGCCCTTCTACATCAACCAGCAGCCAAGAAAATGCCTCACAGACATGATCATGGAGCAATCTGTTTTCAGTAATTCTTCAGTTGAACTTCTTTCTTCTTAGGTGACTCTAGTTTGTATTAAGTGGACAAAAACTAACCAATGTAGTTACAGATAAAAGGCTTTAGACAGGACGCCCTCTAAAATGGTCACCTGATAGAAAAAATGAGGAATTTCAGGGTAAAACATTCAAAATTTTGAGAGAACTTACATGAACTTACAAGACTTAATAGTTAACAGATGGACATAAAGTGACTGTTCCACTCTGTTAATTTTATTTTCAACTACTTTGTGACATTATCTCTAGCAAATAAAGTGCAAGAAACATGAGAAACAACCACTCGGAGTGGACAGCCAGGTAATCCCATACTTGGGAATTCCACAACACTGGTGGGGCCTACCTAGTCAGAGAGGAGAAGAGACAAAAGCAAAGTGTATTTAAAGATCAACAACTTAGATATCCTAACTCAAATTTCACTAATTCTCACTATGAGGAAACAATCAGAACACAACCAGAAGAATACTTTTTTTTAAAAAAGCAAACATAAAGCCTAAAACATAGAACAGGAAGAAAATATACTCAGATCCATCAAGGAGGTCTTGCCCTGTATGAAGCAGAGACTAACAAAATGTCCAAAATCTAAGTTTCATTTCTATTGAAGCGATAAAACACCCTGACCAAAAAGAAACCAAGTGGTGAAAGGTATGTTTGACTAGCTTTCTTTACTCATACAGCTCAGGACTCAGCCCATTCAATGGAGTGATGACAGGCAACAAGTTGAAGATGCCTCCAACCTCAATTAACAATCAAGACACAGCCATACGTACAGGCCAACCTGATCTAGATAATGCCTCAATTTTGAGGTGATCTTCTCAGGTATTTCCAATGTGTGGCAAGTTGATCTTTCAAATTGGCCATCACACTTTCCCCAAAGATTAGGGGAGGGGGATATGCACACACATATACACATACACACATAATTTATGTAAGCATGTAACTTAACTCTGAAGGTAAGCATGTAACTTAACTGTGATGGAGCATCGAGAAGTATACTCAAGGCTTGTAACACTACAAAGGTAAAATCAAAATTGTCCTGCACAGGTATAACCTTCTTTATTGGACGCTAGGTCACTGGTGTCAGAAGCATCAAGAGCAGACTCAGTTCAAGAGTCTGAACAGGAAGATTTCAACATGAGACTGTGATGAAAAAAAGACAGAATCCAGCCCTGGAGGCAGGTTTCACAGGCCTAAGCAATTTATAGCAAAATAGTGCTAGAGGCACTACAGCTCCAGAACAGGTAATAAATATGAGAGCTTCCATTCAATGGAGTGCTGATGGGCAACAAGTGAGTTCAGAAGGAAAATACAACTAGAGTTTGGTGGACAGAAAAGGACACCAGATGGTCAACACCATAAACTTCTAAAGAAATCAATCAGAAAGTAGCTCTCAGATGCCCTACTCTATGATTGAGATAGTTTGCAAAAGAGAATTTCGTTCCCTCAAATAGCACAGACTTACTGATAATTTAATTTTATTTTAATCAGATGTACATTTTATTAAACATACAACTAATTTTTAAAAATTTTTTATTATTTGACCTTTTCATGCATTTGTGTGATAACTTTGAGAATTTTTCATACCCTGATTTCCCTGGCTCATCTTATTCCCTCTCTCACTGAAATTCCTCTTCCCAACCACCCATCCTAGTTTCATGGCTTCTTTTTGGTGTTATCCCCTAGGTTTAATTAGAGTTTCTTGCCAGAGCATGGGTGAAAGATTATTTATTGGTGCAATGGCAACTTATTGGTGGCTAACACCACTCCCCCCCAACAACTTTCAATTGCCAAAAGTGCCTCAGGGAGGGGTACAGTCTCATAGGCCCCATCCCAATCCAAGATAAAAAAAAAACTCATGGGTGAATCCTATGCAGATAACCACACCTGCAGTGAGATCCTGAATGCAAAGGGTACGCCATGTCCAGAAAATGCCTTTTGGTTGCACATCTCTCCACCTGTTTCTCAGATCTTTTCCTCTCTCTCTTCCATGATGTTCCCTGGATCTTGGAGGTAAGATGGCTCTCCCATTTAGGGCTGAGCACTCCATCAACACTAATTATCAACACACTGGCCAGCTTGGCCAGTTATGGGTTTCTACACTAACCACCACCCGCTGCAGTAAGAAACTTCACTGATCAAAGCTGGGCAAAGCACTATAATCACTTAATTGCTCCTAACTTAGTTTAAATTCACAAACAACTGTTTACAGCCAACTCACTCTAAATGATGAACATACATTCTGAAGAACTAAAGCCAACAGAGTTTTCTGAGCTAACTGTTTATGCTAAATTTCTGCTATTGTCTGGCAACAACGTAAGTCAGTATTGCACTGTTTGCACAATAGCACACAGGTGGACTGACAGTTAAGAGGTTAACATCTTACATTTGTTTTAATATGTCAAGGGCAAGTGGCCAGTGTTAACTCTATGTGACCTAATCATCTTCTGAAATATAAAATTAAACCATATGCAGCTCAAAACCTGAGGTGCTGAGGAAGCTACACATGCATAAGTAAAAGAACAAGAGCCACAGTTGAGGACCCCAACTCTATTCACACATGGCATAATATAAAGCCCACAGAAACTAAAAGAGCTGGGAAATTAGTTTTCTTTGTTACTTGACTTGTAACCACAAGAGAAGAGAATCTGATTTATGGGTATAACTTCTCTGGACTTTGCCTTAAGAAGATCAAAAATAGGTCATTTGGACTTTTTATTTTCTAGATTTTGACAGCAATCAAAGTTAGGGAGTATCTTTAATAGATAACTGCATTTTAAAACATTTTTAAACTTCCTTGTAAACTAAGTCATCATGACCTTTACTAGACAATGAGGCTGGGCATAATTTAACATAGAGAAAAAGAGAAAGAACTTTATTGAGCCTGGGATTTCAGCCTGTATTCTACACTATGAATGTTTGCTTTATGCTGAAGATTTCATGTCAGAGCCTTTTAGTAGCAGTCTAAATGATAGTTCAATAAAATACATAAAGGTGGAGCTAGAGAGATGGCTTAACAGTTAACAGCCCTACTGATTTTACAGAGAACCCGGGTTCAGTTTCCAGCACCCACATGTTGGCTAACAATGGCCTGTAGCTCCAATTCCAGAAGCTCCTATGCCTCAATGGGCACAAGACACACACATGGTGAACATACACACATGCAGGCAAAACACAAATACACATGAAATGAAAATACACTTTTATAAAAAAGGAAATATATATTATATATGCAAATATATTTATATATGCAAATTGTTCTTATAAGAAGAGTGCTCTCAGGAAGGTGGGACACAGCAGTCCTGAAAGTGAATTACTCTTCCAAAGAGGCAAGCTACAACATTTTTTTTTTTTTAAATAACCAAAGCATCATGCTGGGGAGATAGCCCAGTTGGTAAAGTATTTACCCCACAAGCACAAGGACCTGAGTTCTATCCCCAAAACGCATGTTAAAAAGTCAGGTGTGGTGCCCCATGTTTACAATTCCAGTGCTGAGTTGAAGAGAGGAGGATCCCCGGAGTGCCTTGGCAAGCCAGCCTAACCTAATCAGCAAACTCCAAATCAAGGAGAGATCCTGTTTTCAAAAATTAGATGAATGATCCCTGAGGAAAAATATGCACACTTGACATGATACCCATACATACGCACATACATACGCACGTACACACGCACGCACGCACGCACACACACACACACACACACACACACACACACACACACACACACATATGGTTTTGTGCTAATACCTAATGGGCTGAGAATAAGCAGCATGGAATATGAGGGAACTATCTATCCCTGTGCTCAGGTTCTCATGGAAGGAATGTAACCAAAAGTGACATACTTTATCTCCAGCTAACACATTCTCCCTCATGAAAAGCTGAATCTAGAAAAAGAGTTTGGCTGTAAGTTTAGCCCTCTCAGGAATCACTTTTTGGACTTTACTGACAAAATTTTAATCTTATAATAGAAACCAAAAGCTGTTGAGAACTTGTTCCTACAACTCAGAAGCAGCTTTTCAATACAGATAATGTTGGGATACCCAAACTCTGTCTTGCTTATTTCTCTGTACTGCACACATAACTTCCTAAAGCTCCATCATAAATATCATAGCAACTTACGTTTCCTCCTCAGCTTTCATTTGGAAGGCGTCTTCTAACCAATCTAATAATTTATGCGTAAATTCACTCACATCTTGCTGTGGAAAAAAAAGTTTTGTTAATATTTGATCCTAAGTAAAAATGCTAAAACCTATAGACAATCACTGAATATGTGCTTACCAACTCCTCACAAAAGCATCTTGTGAATGCGTTCCATAAATAAAAAAATTTTCATAATTTAACCAGGATATAAAATCAGTATTCAAAAAAGAGTATCATAATCACTGGATTTCATTTGGGAAAGCATGTGCACATGCACACACACACACACACACACACACACACACACACACTCTCTCTCTCTCTCTCATGTTAAAAAACGAGTTTGTAAAAATTAATTACTCCCCTCATAGTCTGCAATGCATCTTTATAAAATGAAATACTCATTTCACCAAATGGCTCCTTGCTTTATAAAAAATGATACCATCTTTTCTCTTAGAAAAAAGACTAGTGCTTTTTGACAATTTTATTCATCAACTCAAGCACACCTTTAAATCCATATCTAGTTTCACTTCATGCACACTTTTAAATTCGTATCTAGTTTTACTAAAATACTTCTTAGCTTCAGCACTTAGAAAGCCCAAGTAATCACTGACATCCAATTACTGAATCCACAATCCTCTGAGCCTCAAACTGAGCCTACATTCAGGACAAATACATCACCTTCTGAGAGCCTTTGTTTGTTTGTTGCTCCCCTAAGACAGGAAAAAGGAAATAGGTGGTTGCACACATAACTATAATTCTTTACACAATGTGAGTTAGAAGAGAGAGAAAAGCCACACCGTGGTGGCAAACTCCTTTAATCCCAGCACTTGAGAGAAAGAGGTAGGCAGATCTCTGTGAGTTAGAGGCTAGCCTGGTCTACATAGTGAGTTCCAGGCCAGCTGAGCAGAAAAAGAAAGAGAGGAATAGATATACAAAAAAAAAGTAAAGAAAAATAAGTCAATGGTATTAACATTTTTCATAGATAGATGAATCCATACAGATAATTTGCCTTTATTTACCAAAACAAAACAGCCTCAAGACTAAAGCAGTATCATATTTTTAAAAAAACTATTCACCTTAAAAATGTTGATATTAACGTCTTGGATACATACAAAATTCCAGCGTCACATACTCAAACAGGACTAAACTGCAAAAAGACTAGTTGCAAACATCTGTATCACCTTAGATAAAATAATGCCATCCAAAAAAAAAAAGGGAATTCACTTAGAACCTAAAAAAAGAAATCTTAAATGAATATGGGTCTTTTTAGAAGTAACTATGGTAAGATTCTCAAAGTGAATTCAGCCTATATAAAAGTAGGCCCTAACTCCAGTGTTATCTATTCCTGTTTGTTTTTTTTTTTTTAAAAAAAAAGAAAAACTGAAGACAGACAGAAATCGAAACTAGCCTCCCAGAGCAAAGCCATACCAGGAGCCTCCAAAGTGCAGAGGCAAAAAGGATGGTGTAGTCAGAGGGAACATGCTTTGCCAGCATCTTAATTTTACCCCTGAGCTTTGGACCTGTTAATAATTTTCTACTGTTGTTGAGCCATGAAGCTTAAAGTTTATAAATTTCACATTTTTAAAAGTTTTTACTTATCTTGAAATCTTTCTTTTCTAAAAAGAAATGAAAATGTTTTCTATTTATTACAAATCTTAGAAGGAATTAGTTCTTACCTTTTTAAGTAATCAATCTACAATATACAATTACACAAGAAAATTCTAGCAAAGTTCATCAGGATGAAAAAAGTGAGATCTCGGGGCTGGAGAGATGGCTCGGTGGTTAAGAGCACTTGGCTGCTCTTCCAGAGGACCCAGGTTTGAATCCTAGCACCCACACAGTAGCTAACACTTACATGCATGCATTCATAACACTCATACAAATAAATTAAAAATAACTTTTTAAAAAAAAAAAATAAAAAGTGAGGTCTTTACTATAATATTCTACTTTCAAATTGAAAGAAAAGTATTTTTAAAACTGACAGTACTACTACACATCAACGATCTTACATAAGACTCCTGAATATTTCTAAAGATGATACATTTTGAAAGAGGGTAAAACAAAATAGTAAATTACTTGAAAATAATCACAATACTCCTATCACTTATGCAGGTGTTCTACTAACTCACTAATGTGTATGTCAGAGTCAAAAGTTTGGAGAAAAGAAGACAATCACACCTCTATCAACCTAATTGATGTGCACCTACTTTTAAAGACCTCCAGAGAAAAAGAGGCAACAATGATGAAACTAGTTGGTCCATACTACCTACTCAAAGGACAGGTGTTCTCACTACAGCATTCAGGAGCACACAACAGGAAGCATAACAGAAAAGTAAACAAGAAAAGCACAGAGAAAAGGCGACACCAGAAGACAATGTTAGGGAACAGAAGCTTGTTCAAAATTAACTGTATTCTAAGAGCCGCTGCAGAAGACAGTACACCTACTGAAAAAGAGAACTCTCTAGAAATCAGCCAACAAGTCATTAAACAAATGAAATATATTTAGATCCAGGAGAGCTCTAAGGTGGGGGGGGGGTTAGAATCCCATTCTATCTGTCTACAATGAATATTATTTCTATTGGCTTGGGTTAGTATTGTTACAACAATAAAGAATAAATAACAAAGCTAAATAGATGGTAAACCTGAAAAGTATTGCACTTTTTCTTAGAAAAAGCTGTAAATGGATATAACCGGGTGTGGTGGCATAGGCCTTTAATGCCAGCACTTGGGATGCAGAAGCAGGCAGATCTTTGTGAATTCAAGGTCATCCTGGTCTACATAGCGAGTTCCAGGCCAGCAAAGGCTACATCATGGAGACCCTGTCTCAAAAAGACAAAAAAAAAAAAAAAAAAAAAAGAAAACAGGAAAAGACCACACTAGAAACTGGTGATGTCAGCACTTTGTGTCTGTTTATATTTGTCATATAGAGTAAATGAAGAAGAAAGCAGATGCGGGGAGTGGAGGAGGGGAAGAGGATCCCATCCCCTACAAAAAGACAGAAACGGAATTTTTTCTGAACCCTCTGAATTCCCACAGTGTAACTCCCAGTAATACAAAGCCTACACTGCAATGACACCCTTCTCAGGCTTATCATGGTCTACTGTGACTTCAGAGCCACCATCTTTCCAGGATATGTTAGTCTCTACAATTGTATTTGTCCCTTGTGGCTCTCTTTATTTCTCTGACTTTTCAAGAAGTGAGCTGACTTAAAGACACTGCTTGGTTTATAGGAAACCAACCCCAATACTGCCTAAAATAAAAGGGCACAATGACAGCACTATTTAAAGCAAGAAAAGCAACATTAAGTCAGCATTTTTCAAAAGCTCTTTCCAGGGTCTAGAGAGGTAACTCGGTCTTTAAGAGCACTGGCTGCTCTTGCAGAGGACCCAGGTTTGGTTCCCAGCACCCACTTGGCAACTAACAACTGGCCCTAACTCCGGTTCCTGAGGAGTCTGATGCCCTCTTTTGACCTTCGAGGGCACTGCACAACAGAGGCACTTACATACATGCAGGCAATACACTCATATGCATAAAATAAAAAATAAAATGTTTCCCAAAATAGGCCTTTCCAAGTAATTAAGGAAAAGTAGTCCCTATCAGCATAAACAGTAGAATACAAAGAATATGTTGGTATTTGAGTTTGCATAAGTTTGTTAAAAATGTTAATTATACATGAATATGCTTAATTTTGTTCATTATTTTTCCTTATTAATTTCAATTATACTATAAATGATTTCATTTACCTTAGTACCTCCAATTTGATCACTTTTTGCTTAATTTAAAACTTTTCCAAATAAAAATGCTTTCAATGGCTCTAAGATTTTGTTAATAAAGTTTAATTATGCCATCGGAAATTGTCACACACACTTGGAAAAGTAGCTTAAAAATCTGTAAGTTTAAATGTGAATGGTTAATTGCAAAGCACAGAATGCTACCTGCTGCGAGTCATTTGACTTGAAGGCATCCTTCAGAATTTCAACTGCTCTAGATGGATCAACATACTTCCTTTTGGTACCAACAAGAAGCGCAAACAGATACCTTAGTTCCCGCATAAAAGGCAAATTCCGATGTTCCTACAGGAAAATAATATATAAATAACAGCAACCTTAATGAAATTGAATTGTTTAGTAGCCAGCAGACATTCACTTTAACAGTAACCAAGGTGCTGAATCCAGAACTCTGTATCATATTGAAAGAATGTCAGCTCAAAGGAGGCAGGGACTACAACAAGGACTACAATGGAGGATCTTAGGCCAGGCTCACAATTTCTGCATAAATGTCACAAATTCATAGCAAACCATGTCATTATCCATTCAAGAATATCGTCCTCATTTAAGACTGTTTATTAAAATCTTTCTATTCAGCAAGGGTGCAACTGCTGTTGACAAAAGCAACCAAAACAGCCAATATTCAGTGAGTGCTCCCCACATACCAGGCACCACTGAGTGCATTTACCCCAACACCATTTAACAAAACTTTTAAACAAAACTTCCTTACCATCTAGGAAGTTCTCTAGACCCCTCCAAATCAACAATGCCTCCAAATTCTACATCTAAATGTCTTTTAATATGAGCCACTACCACAGTCATGTAATAACCTAAATTACTGGATTAGAATTAGGGCCCTAAGTATAATTTAATTACTTAATAAATACTAACAACTGTTCATATTTATTACATTATATTTACTATTAAAATTGCTTTGCAATTATTTACTTTGTAAACTATCAGATATATAGTATAAATTCATTGTAATTACTGTAATTGTTCCATTTAAATGTTTAATAAATACAATGTTAACCTTATCAATAATCAGATCAGATGATAGCATGATACTAATATATCACCTTCCTGGAATTCCTGGAAACCTTGATTTTTGTACTCACTAAAATTATAAGCTTCTCAAAGATAAAGATTTCAATATTTCTTCAATAATCTTTTTGAACACAAAGCAAGCATTCACTTCTTACTCATTGATTATACCAAATCCTCCAGGAATTAAAAAAAAATTATCAGTCACTATTAATTTATTTTAAAACAAGAAACATTTTAAAAAACATGTAATGTACATAATGTAGTGAAATGCTTCACAGCAGCAAATCAGAAAAGCAGCTGTTATAATATTTAGTTCTTGTAACAGCAATTATAGCATAAATTTTAAATATGGGAAAAAATTAAATTTACATAATTGGCATTACCAACATAATAAAATTGTAAGTAGTACATATATATATGTGTGTGTGTATATATATTTCTGTATAACTTCACATAAATGTGAGTAATATAATTCACATAGAAAGTTGTTCTCACTATAAATTCAAAAAGGACCCCTGCAGAGGATAGTGGTACAGATCTTTAATCCCAGCGCTTGGCAGGCAGAAGCAGGCAGAGCTTTGTGAGATCAAGGCCAACCTGGTCTACATGGTGAGTTGCAGGTCTGCTGGGGGTACAGGGAGCTCTTGTCTCAAAAAGACAACAATAATAATAAATTTAAAAAATAACTATGAAGTCTCTGAGCAGTAAAAGAGAAATGCAAATGAAGGAGGGGTGCTAGAAGGTTGAACCCAGAACTTGTGAGTGAATAGAGATAAGTCTGGGCTTCTACCCTTCCTGGTAAAGAGAACAACAAATCTTTCACGTGCATACTTTAGTACAATGAAACATCTGCTCAGCCAGTTCCTATGGCTAGAAACTTTATGGCTAGCAAAAGACAAAACATCATGCAATAAAGTTAACAGCAACTACTCCATTTGACCAAATTATGGAAATATCACCATACATAAAAATTACTTGAACAGCGCTTTTCTTTACTTTTTAAAACAGGTTTATTCTGGTATGACTACTGCACAATACATACACTATAAAATATACAATTTTTCTGAGGTTTTGGAAGGGAAGCAGGAATTAAATTGTATTTATTTGTGTGTGTACGAATGCGCATACGTGTGGGTGCATGTGCATCGTGGCACATGTGTGGCAGTCAGAGGACAACTTTCCAAGAATCTGATTTCTCCTTCTACCTTGCTGAGGCAAGGTCTCTTGTTGTGTCTGTTGTGCTATATGGTCCAGGTTGGCTGGCTCCCAAGCTTCCAGGAAATTCTCCTGTCTTCACCTCCTATCACACTGTAGGAGTGCTGGGGTTATAAATGTTAAGTTACCATATCCATCTTTTTACATGGATTTTACTGATCACACTTGGGGGGTCAGGCTTATCCAACAAGCACTTTTACCTGCTAAGCCATCTCAAGAAGCAGATTTTGCTCTCATTAATTTTCTCGAAAGGAGTTTCTGAGATCTCAGTGATCTCCACTCTGCCTGTAACTTGGGATTAATGTGGGTGTGTTTCTAATTTCTTTGCATGTAAGCTTTCATCATCTATTTTTTTCTAATAAGATGTTTGGTTGTACTAATGATCCCAGTAATCCATTTTCCACTTTGTTTTGGCTGGATTTGTTCAATATTGATGGGGCATGTTATAATTTCCATTCAGTTCAGAACATGCTAAAATTTCCCTTCTTAGTTTATAATTTTTCCCTTAGAACTTTAAAGGTATATTATGTTACAACTATCTGGAGATTTATTTTCTATTGCTGATCTGTAGTCACAAAATATATTTGAATCCTCCCAAATGTATAGAAACTCATAGATTCCATACATTACTACATGTATCATATCTAAAGGTAAAAATTCTAGAATGCCTTTTTGTAAACGTAAAAGTCTCTTCAGTTATTTGCTCCAGAATACAATACTCAATCACATTCTCTTCTTTTTCTCCATGTCTCGTTTTGGGGGGGTGCCATGTTCCTGCTATGGTGGCTCAGACTGGCCTCTTGAATTCAGGAATCTTAAGCCTCTACCTCCCAAGAGCTGGGAATATAGGAATCTACCACTTCACCAGGCTATACTCCTGATTCTCATCTCAGCATAGTTTATATGGAAATATAGCCCCTAAATCAAGATGCACATGATGACTTCTACTAAATATTATGAGTTTCTGTATCTTTGTCTTCTCACAATTCAGTGTTTTCCAGCAGTATGTAACATTTTAAATCCAAAGAGTATCTGTATGTAAGAAGAGGGGATCAATCATTATTTTTATGGTAACAATTATCCTAGACACTACACTTATCATAATTCGAATCAAAATATATAGTTCTATATATTTTATATTATAGTATATAGTTCTATATATTTTGTATTATAGTATATAGTTCTAGACTAACCAACTCCACCTAAAATGCAAACTGACTATAAACGCACCACTACTTCTTATTTAATGTAGGCACAAGATTTTAATTGCTTACAAAGATATCCCTAACAGACATCTCTGTGATATATTTAAACCAATTCCAAGTATCACAGCATATTAGTTTTCAAGTTTAATGTAGTAGTAAACATTTTATGACTTCATTTGTTCCAGTGGTATCAAATTATAGTATATTCACTGCCACCATGCCAAATCAAATAATAACTTCATTTGTAGAACCATATATAAAATTTCACGATATTCTTCTACACAAGTGTCTTTCACAAAATGGAAATGAGAGACAAAACCCTAAGCCAAGAAAAACTTAGGGATGCTGACCCTTCTACAGCAAGAAAGACACTCATCTTGGCAGGTGCCCATTACACTCCCTTAGTACGTGCTAAACATTCTCAGGGTCTCACAAGTAACTCTGAAATATAAACATGGATAATGACTATACTTTTAAAATAAGATTACAAAACTGGCTGGCCACACTCAACTTATGAAAAAATAACTTAATGCTCCATTAAAATACTGAAATACAAAATAAAGAAGATACACACAAATACATAATTCGAAAGTAATTCTAACTAGTAGCACAAATTCTATAAACATTTTGGCTGAGACATGAGAAAGGAGAAGGGTTGATATCAAAGTGTGAGAAAGAAAGGCAGCAGTCCAAAATCTCCCAGTGAAGACTGTAGCACTTGAAGAGGTTTGCTTACTTTCTCTGGCAGCATGAGGCTGTCAAATGGTCAACGTTCCCTTCTAAAAAGTAGTTGCTCTTCACACTGACACAGCCCAGAGATTTAAGCCTAAAACTTGGATGTATTTCAGCTTTCATTCCCTCTACTGTGCACTATAAATGTTTCATCTATTTGCAGAAAAAGTGACTTTAAAAATTAAACACTAAAAGAAAATGTAACTTAATAACTTATGACTGTAACAATAGGTCACACAGTTCAGTACACCACTGAAACCTAAAACTCACCTTTGTCTTTATAGTCAGTCCACTTTAGGACCTCGGGCTCTTTATGTCAAGATCAGTAAATACCTGCACTGAAGCCTGTCATCCTCCTAGAAGATGGTTTATTTTGTTTTTCCATTCGGTATGAATATATGCATAAAAATCCATCCTGTTTTTGCAAAAAGTTTTAATCTAAAACTTTCTAAAATATACCATGTAACAATAGTAGGTACCTATTCTGTGTAACTGGCACGTCTAAGAACTTAGCATGTTTTATCTCATTTAATCTCCTCAGCAACTCTATGATATGATTACTGTTATTGTCTACACTATAGATAAGGAAAGCCCAGGGAAAGATCACATGACTTGCTTTAGGTCCACAGCTAAATTCCATGCAATCAGACCCTGAAGTTTGTGCTCCTACTTCAACCTCAGACTGTTGAATACTAACTTCCAACATAGAAGGGGGAGATTTTCCTTTCCAAAAGAGCATCTATTTGTTTTGTAAAGGATTCTTCTAGATAATCAAGTGAAAAGAAATGTTGATTTTGATATTTTTTTTCAGGAGTCAAATAAGGAAAGATTCTGAATTGTATATTTTGGCCTGTAGAATGTATTACAATGTGATATAGTCCAAAGGGTAAGGAGTCCTAAACTGGACAAAAAGAATTAGCATGTTATTGTGACAAACAGATTTAAAAAATCCATATTTACAATATACATAACAGAAGACAGGAAGTTCCTATAGTAGAGATTGATGGCATGGCATTCAAATTCCAACAGTTTCAGGTTTCATGGAGCAAATAATGCTCCCAATTAAAGAAAAAAGAACGTAAAGAGCATAAATACTCTACTTCAAAATCTTTTCTGGTTTTACCTTTTGGTTTCGTGGTAAATCTTGAACATTTGATGGAGGCTTGTAATTCAGAACTAATCTTCTAAATTCCAAAAGATTGAATAATGACTGAAAAAGAACAATTTAAGATCGCTGAGAGAAAATTCTATTATTGGAACTGTGAATATTTTGAAATACTATTATCTTTTTAAATTTTTGAATGGCGGCTAAGAGCGAATAAACACAAGGCCCTGTGCATCCTAGGCAAGTGCCCTACAACTATGCTTCATTCCCAGTCCCAACATAGTATTCTTAATAAATAACAGTACTATTCTACTGCAAGGCAGCAATTATAAAGGGACAACTTTTTAAAGCCTACTGTGTACTACATCACTAAAAGCAATTTGTCAGCATGTACAAAAAGTTTCTACAAGATAAAACAAATACAACACAGGAAATTTTTAGACCCAGTCTACATCCTATACATTATCTAGAAAAATAGGGCACAAATCAACTTATTCACCAGATGTTAGGTGGTAAAGACATAATGAAATTACATGTTCTCTCAATGGCCAAGAAAACATATAGCCTAGTAGACAAATTACAATTCTAACAATAGAAATGGGACTCCAAGGTACAATTACACTAATTGTGTAAAAATATGAGAAAAACACCTATGAAAAGGCTTTCTGCAGGGGGATTTTGTTGGAGTTTTTAGTATTAGAGACTGAACCAGGGTCTTGGACTTGCTAAACCAAATTGCTAGCATTGAGCTAAATCAGCAACCACAGGAATGCTTGCTAAAAAATAGTTTGTGATCCATTATTGTCATCATTGTGAACATTTGTTTAATAATTAAGAAATAAAATAGCAAATACTAGAACATATATATTCATCTGAGTATTTTATAAAATTTTCCTTATGAACATTTTATATACTCGTGGATGTGCCACATATTTTACAATGTACTGTGTGCTTCATTCTTGAGTCAGTTTATATAATATATAAGTTGGTTTTCTTCATAAAACAGAAAAGCAGACTTACAAATTAAGGATAATAAGGTTTGTATTTTTTTTAATTATTAGGTAAGCTTTGAAAAATGGCTCACCACTTTCTAAAAAAGAATCCAGACAAATAGATGAACTGAAAAGAAAAATATGAATGTTTCTAATAGAAACTATGGAAAAATATTTGCTATTATCTGTGATTTCTTAATTGAACATTATATACAGATAAAATGATTCATTTATCCATTCTTTTCTTTCTTTCTTTCTTTGAGAAGGTATCTAACTATATTCCCCAAGAAGTCTCAAACTGCTAGGCACCAATGATCCTTCAGCCTCAGCCACCTGAGTAGAAGGGACAAAAGGTACACACCATTCTGCCCAGCTCATTTATTTATGCATTTAACAAGTATTTATGGCATGCCTACAGCATGCCAGATACTAGGAAAACAAAGAAGATAGAACTTTAAAATATTCAGTTCTCTAATGACTAGCTTTTATACTGCTGCAAGGTGCTATGCCTGCTACTGGAAAAGTAAACATCAACCCTGCACAGCTGTGAATCCTCCAGGCTATAACAACAAGTGACCTGGCACAATGTGCCCACTGGTACAATGGTGGTATGACTGCTATATGGGTAAGCAACCATTTTCTGACTGGATTTAAGGCCCTCTTCACAAGATGCAGCCCATACCTGGAACTGATAGCAGGCCTAGGAACTTGTGACTGTACAGGTCACAGGCCATAGGGGAGAACCTACGATTACTATTCTGCTACATAGACATAACATTAGATGAATATCTAATGACTTTTTGTTATACTCATAGATTAATGTGTCTCTCAACTCTCACCAGAGAAGTTTCTTCTTGAAGCAGGTGGTAGTTAATAGAGACCCACACATGGTCAACATGAAGGGAATAAAAATGTATAGAGTGCTTAGGTCTGAATAGGATACCTACATCAAACCCATGAACCAAGGCAGAAGGGCTAGAAAGAGTCTAGGAGTCAGAGGTGGTGTGTGAGTACAAGGACAATGTTTTTAGACAGCAGGGCAGTTACTCATGTGAATTCACGGCACCTGTGACAACAGGAACAAGACTTATGTAAACTCAAGCCAGACAAATCCCCAGCACAGAGGAAGGAGATCAGTAAGAAACCCCAAGCTAGCTGAGGAACTATAGGCAACCAATAGTTTTAGAGGGAAAGTCAATTTTCTTTAATGGTATGATACTAGATAGGCTGGTCAGACTCCAGGGTCTGGACCAATCCCAATGGGCATTTGGAGTCACAAATTAGACTTGATGGGCTTTAAACAATAATCATATTAAGAGTTACGAAATTAGGTGGGGAACAGATGGGGAAGATTTCGAATATGATCAAATATATTGTGTGAAATTCTCAAAAAGTCAATAAAATATTTTTAAATATCTAGTCTCTTATAAGGATTATTAACTTGTGGTTGCAGATTAAAATAATGATAACAAATGTACAAATGAGAAAGAATACCATTATAGCAACAATAGACCAAGATCAGCCTCTTAGGAAAAAGGCAGCATTTTAAAGCCAAACAAAATTTTTCCATAAGAAAAAGTGGAAAGAGTAAGGAAATCAAAAGAGGAAAAGGAATACAGAAAACCAAAGCTTCTGAATACGTGAAATATTTTTTAAAAAATCAAACATCAAAGACCTCTTACTAAACACTCACATTAAAAGACTGATGAGCAACAAAGAATCACTGGTAAACATCCAGAACAAAGAGCTCAGCAATGCTGCCACCTTTTTAATAAGGTGATAGCCAGATGGTGACTTCGTACCTTTCTGTAAAGTGGCAGAGAAACACTTGAAATAAGAACTAGAGAAATGGCATACAAGTACAGGGGAATATGAACCATCCCTAGAAGGCATTTTAAAGAGGAGAATTTGGCAAATTAGGAGAATCCTAACGCCACTATTATGCTACCAACTTCCACTGTAAAATGTTTTCCTTGTTTCTGAACAGTACAGATTTCCTTTGGCATGGGTCTGCGAAATGTTTTTTTTTCTTCATTTTGAAGGACTTTTGGCTCTGGGTGGCCAGTTAAAATTTTTCCCAGCTCTTTGAAGGCATGGCTTCTGTTGGAGAGTCAGCTTGGTTCTTTTTGCTGATTTGCAGAGGTAACATAGCCACTTTCACCTTATTTCCTATGAACTCTTCAAGCCGAGTAAGTTCTAGCCCTCAGAAAACTCTATAACTGAAATTTCACAGTACATTTCTGTCATAGCTTGAACAAATTCCAACAAACTTCACAAATCACAATAAAAGCTCTGAATGCTAATGTAATTTCTTTCTTTGTTAAGTGAAAAGGTTTCATTTATAACATCTCAGCTCATATCTGAGAAATAAATGTTGGAAAATGAAAAACTAACATTTTAATTACTGAATATAAAAAATAAAAAGTTCCTCAAAACAATGTAATACACTTACAGTTAAAAAACAAAAGTTTAAGTGAGTTTTTGACAACTTTTTCCCCACCCAGTTTTCCACAAAAGGAAGCTTTATGATTTTCCCCCAAAGCTGTCTTTATTAGGCTATAATAGCCCAAATTTTTAAGGCTAGAAGATAACCTGTTCTGGGTCTCTAGATTTCTATAAGAGAAAAATCTTAAATATCTATGCTTGCTGTCTTAATAGTTACTATCATTAGATAAATTTCAAAGCTAGTAAAATTACTATTTTTTAATAAGCAAGGAAGAAAAAGTCATATTTTTCCAGTACATTCCACCCCACTCCCAAACACACACAAAATGAAATGTAAAGCAAAAAGCATGGTCAACTAATGAACTTAGAGTGGAATGGATGTAACTGTATCCCATTTGAATTAAGATAGTGAAAAAAGTTTAATTGGTTAAAATAAAAGGATAATCCCTGCATCTATGAGTAATAATTTATCACTTCAAGCAGGACTTTCCTGTGAGTACTGGCTGAAGAAATGGAAGCATCCATTCTGGCTAACAAACACCACTCGTTTCTAAGTGTGTTCTCTTTTTGTACTTCTCAAAGACAAACTTCTGACAAATGAGTACCATTTTAATGACACAATACTGGGAATACAGGCAGCAGAACAAATTCATAAACACTCAGATCACAGCCTTAAATCTGTTCTTCATATCTCAAAATGTCTGACCTATGAAATGAATAAAATCTTACTGACAGTGCAAGTCAAGTGAGACAGCCTACAGGGAAGAGTTTCAGAAACAACTGGTAATGCCAACAGATCAAGACTGCAAATAAATATTATATATTGCTCTTGGCAATAGAATTAAATAGAATTAAGCTTACTGGAAAAGAAACCATAAATTTATATTAATTCAGATACCTCAATTTACTGTCTTAGAAATACAGATAATGCACCATATTATTTATTATTGAGTATCACAGCACAATACAGAATGAGGCATAAATCCAGAAAGCCCAATGAAATTCAATAATATGACAAGCATAAGTGTGGACGTTATAAAGTGTACTAATTTTATAGAAACAAAGTTAAAATTACAGTTTTAATTAGTCACCCAAATATGACAAGCTTAACAGAAAATGAACAAGAAAAGCAGGTGCTTCTAATACTATATAAAAGTTAAAGCCATCATAAACATAGATTTAGAAAGTTTAAAAAAATCATCTGAGTATAAAAATAAATGGCATACATGTCCAATAATATTAATTCCTCATGAATAAATAATAACCTATACTTCAACTGCCTTATAAAACTAAACACAAATTATTTAGAGAATTTTAAAATTTAATTTCTTTGTGTTTTTAGTCTTTTTGAGACAGGTCCTCCCTGTAGCCCTAAGCTGGCTTCAAACTCCTTATACAGATCAGGCTGGCCTTGATCATACAAAGATCTACCTGCCTCTGTCTCCCAAATGCTGGGAATAAATGTGTGAGCCATCACACCAGGGTCTAAATTTAAATGTTTATTATTCACATCAATAGAGAATGGTAAAAAAAAAATTATGGCAACTGTCATTATTACATAAAAAAGCTAAAATCAGAGATCAAGCTAAATATATTATCAAAAAAAATCCAAATTGAAAGGATAATTAGATATGTGTATCTACAAACATCTCCTATTTTAGATAAAGCTAACAGAACATTTCACAAGGATTTCCTAAGGTAAAAATAAAATGTGTTAATCTTGATTTATCAGTATTTATCTTTACAACATTCTCACATATGCACTGAGGTATATTTACATATCTATGTAACCCTCAAACAAAATGCCTCTTTATTAAAGAATTCTTGTGTAGTTATGAGTGTAATACTATGAATATTTTCCTTACATACAACTCTGATCTCACAAAACTTCAATTCTGAATTCCTGTCTTGGGTACAATGCTCCTCTACATTTTCAAGGAAAAACATACAAAATTATCTTCTTCCTACCTCTCTGGAATTCCATAAAACAGCAGCAATTCCTAATTGCAAGAAATCAGGAAAAATCAATTTTACATAAATGGAAGGTGTTAACTTGTGTTCTATTATTAAAGCTCCCCATTGAAGCCAGGTATTATGCTGCATGCCTGTAATCCCAGTGCTCAGGAGACCAAGGCAGGAGGATCATAAATTGACATTAATCCTTACTTAGCAAGGTATAATGATAATTCTAGCACTCAAATGTTGAGGCAAGAGATCATAAGTTCTAGGCCAGCCCAGGTTATATGTAGAGAACCTGTCTCATAAGACAGTGAAGCCAGCTACCTTTAATCCTAGCACTGGCGAGGCAGAGGCAGAGAGATCTCTGTGAGAAGGCCAGCCTGTTCTGTGTAGCCAGTTCTAGGCCAGCAGGGTTAGAGGGAGACTCTGTCTCAAAATGAAACCAAACAAACAGACAGACAAAAAAGACAATGAAGAAAAAAAAAATCACACTGAGAATGGAAGACAAGAAGGGGTAGGGGTGTTGAAATTTCCACACCACATTATGACACAAATATCAGAACCCTACCTGCACTTCGAAAGCATACAAGGAACATAGCCCAGATCACGGTCAGTGCTCCCACACCCACTAGGTAAGAGCTGGATATAGATCCTTACCTGAATGACAGCACTAAACCAGCAAGTATTACCAACATTCTTCAGCCCAACAGGAGCTTTGTCTTGTCTTTTTCTATCATAAGGGTTTCGAGAATCTCTCCAAACTTCTGTAGGTGTTCTCTTCAAACATGCTTTATTTTCTGCTATGCTGGCTTCAAGAACTCTTAAGCAATGAAGAGACAATATTGAAAAGATTTACAATATTACAGAATACTATACTCTAGGAAACAAATATACTGTGAACTTTAAGGATTTTATTACTCACGCTCTAATGTGTTCAGGGAAGTAATATTTAATGCTAACAATACTCGAGTAGAAATCAGACTTCATTAAGAACATGACAGTGCCAGTGCCAGTGAAGGAAAGCACTTTTCCTAAGAAAATTTCAATTGCAAAGCCTTAATTGGATTAGAAATAAAATAATCTTTATCTTTTTTTTTTAATTTACATTCATGTACTACAGAATGACAATTTGGTCAACAAGAGACTGCATATGCAACAGTGGTCCTAAGGGATTACAATTGTGATGAAAAATCCCTTTGCCTAGTGGCCTTAAAAGCACTGTAATCTTGTAACACAAAGCGTGTGTGTGATGATGATGGACTGTACTGCCAGTCCTTAACTTTTAGCCAAGACACTGGCTACTTTTCTTTGGGGCTAAAAGTCACAATGTCCTTGGGCTTCTTAGCAACATACTCTGCTCCAAAGGCCAAAAATGCCAAAAGTATTTTGGAGCTTTTATCTAATCCCCAAAATATTTTAGGGTTACCTCTTCAGAGGGGGTAATGTTAGAGTAGAAAAAGCAAGAAAGCAAGAAAGCAAGAAAGAGAGAGAGAGAGAGAGAGAGAGAGAGAGAGAGAGAAAGAGAGAGAGAGAGAAAGAAAGAGAACGAAAGAAGGAAAGAGAGAAAGGAAGTGAGAGCGAGAGAAAGGAAAAGAAAGGAAAGAAAGAAAGAAAGAAAGAAAGAAAGAAAGAAAGAAAGAAAGAAAGAAAGAAAGCGTACATGAAGTTGTCAGAAAAAAGTGATGGGGAGATATGGGAGGAGTCGGAAGGAAAGGAATGGGCGTGGATTTGATCAGAACACCTTATATGCATGTATGAAATTTTCAATAATTTCTTTTAAAGTTGAAAAAAAACTAGCACTTAAAATTATGCACAGTGCAGAACACTTAAAAACTATGATACTGTATTCATATATTCAATATACTATATTATTTACCACTACTTTACAGTGGACTTTCCATTTCACAAGGTTTACTGCAAAACAGAAGTGCATGCTATGTGGGCAGAAGTCTCACACTTGTCATGTTTCCTTTGTCTCCTTGATTGCATCAAGGGAGTACATCAAGGTGATAACATATCATCTAGGTTTGTGTATGCACACTGATGAAATTGCCTACTGACTTCTTTATTTTATTAATACTAATCTGCTATACAAATTTCCCTTTTTTCATATTCATATGCGGAAAAACCATTTTTTTGCATCAAGTGCACCTTCAATATTATAATCTTTCTCACATGATAGAGTATCTTGAAATACATTCTCTGAAAATAAAAGAAAACTACTTTACTTCTGATCAAAGTTGAAGTGCCATCAAGTGTTATAATTATTCAAAAGCAACTATTTATCTAAATCGTTTTTAAAAGTAAAAGACCTAATTTATAGGGTATCTCAAGTATGTCACAGATAGGCCAGGTTAAACTGTACAAATACAGTCTATGTGCTTTTGAATTTTCATTTAACATTGTCAGCATTAAATATTACTCACAACCAAAGATCAAGACAATGAATTTTAAGTCTTTACATCTCAATGCAAATACAATGTCTTACTCAGGATAGCTTTCAAAGTACCACTTAAAGGAATTAAAGGGCTAGAAAGATAGTTCAGTTAGTTGGTTAAAGCATTTCCTGCCTAAGAATTAGGACCTGAGTCTTAATTGATCCCCTGCATGCAAACCAAAAGCTAGGTACGGTGGCATGCACTTGTAATCCCAGCACTGGAGAAGTAGACAGCTCCTAAGGGATGACACTCAAGGCCAACCTCAGGTGCACACACACACACACACACACACACACACACACACATTAAAAAGCCTCACTAACAGAAAGGATTATATACCCTTGTTGAACACTTTGAGACTATTACACAATAATTTAAAGTCAGAAAAAAATATCCTATTAATATTTTAAGAAAACTGGTAGATTCCATTGTTAAAATCTGTTTTACAGTTAAAAGAACAATGGAGTCAAAAGACTCATTGCTGACCTTAGAAACTCATTTAACCTTTTGAAAGCTAAATTCATTTCAGTAAAATAGAGATACACTGCTCCCAAATAGGTGTTTACAGAACTGCAGTCAGTTATCATCCAACGATTTACATCTGCAGTGCAGTTTAAGACCACATTTATTTATTTAATCCTCAGATGGATCAAATTACTTTTAAGCGAAAAGTTTCACTTAGTCAACTGAAAAATACATCTTTGATTTATCCTGATGTTTGTGTATGAAGGTGTGTGTGTGTGTGTGTGTGTTTGTGTGTAAAACTTCAGAGCCTAGTTGAGAATCTCAAGCTCATGGGATGCATCCATCTGACCACCTATTTATGTAAACTGAGATTTACAGGAACAGTTATGCTCATTATAAGTGAGTTGTGCCTGTTTTCCACAACACAAGAATTGAGTAGTTATGGCCAACAAAGTTAAAAATTTTTATTATTGGCTCTTTACAGAAAAAGTCTGTAACCTCTGCTATAAATTACTGAAGTTGAACTGAGAGTAGAAAGAAACAACAACAAAAAAATTAAATGCATGACTAAATTTAATGCTCCATAATTTCAAAATCTTGAAAGGCTCAGAACTAAAATATGAAGTTTGATTAGATAAAACATAAAAGCAATACAGAACATTAGCAATTCATTTAGATGAAGTATATCTTACTGCCTCTTAAAATGGAATTCCATCATTATTTCTATAATTAAAAGTATTTATTTACATAAACTTTATACAAATTGGGTTTTTACCTGCTAATGGCTTGCTCTTCATCAGTTATTCCAGTTTCTCTGAATGCCCTGTTTGATTCTGCCAAACTCAAGGCAATCGCTCTCTGAAGATCATCTTTGTCATCTCCAGTGAGATCAATCACATCTGAAAAGCAAAAATATCTTTTTCAAAATTAAGTCAAACAAATGAAAAAGAATTGCTTTTATAGTGCTTTTAAGCCCAATATACCTTTCCAAACAAAAGTCAGTACCAAGTTAATTCTCTACTTCTTTCATAAGAATGAACCTTTCTAGGGCTGGAGAGATGGCTCGGCAGTTAGGAGGACTAGCACTGGCTACTCTTGCAGAGGACCCAGGTTTGAATTCCAGCACCCATCTGTAACTCCAGTTCTCTGAGATTTGGTGCCCTCTTCTTTCCACTGCGGGCACTGTACAACATGGGTGCACCCACATACATGCAGGCATGACCGTTGTACACATTCAAAATAAAAATAAAAGAATGAACCTTCTAAAAAGAATACACACATGTAACCAATTATTCTTGGCAACTTCATAGTCTCTTGTATAAAATGCAGCAAAAGTTGTAAAGGCAAATTATTTTTCAGTGCAGAAAAACCTCAGTATTAACTATGAAATCCCTTATTAAAAGCTAATAAGCAGAAAGACTGCTAAGAGAATGCTCCAAATAAAGCTACCACATATTTACACTGATGCTCTGTGAATTAAATATATATTACATTTTCTGACCAGAGGGGTGTGTGTGTGTGTGTGTGTGTGTGTGTGTGTGAGAGAGAGAGAGAGAGAGAGAGAGAGAGAGAGAGACTGGCAGAATATGCCACACAGTGAAGAGTGGTGAGCTCAAGGGAAGAAGAAAGTATAAGGAGATGTCACTTTTGCTACATACACTTTTGTTTAAAATATGTAGTTCTTTTCATTTAAAACAAGCCTTCCATTTACAAAGAGATATACAAGTGAAAATGAAAGAAACTATTCATTTCTTCTCTCACAAAAGACAGCTTGGATACTAAGCATTAATTCTTTTTTTCTAACAGATAAAAACGTCAACTATTATTACCTTCAGTAAAACCATAATTTAGTCCAATTTTCCAATATGTAGAAGTCGATTTCTTCCAAAGAGAAGATGTCAATCACAAATACTCCTGTTATTATGTAAGCAATGATGTGAAACATTTTGATGAGAAAAACAATGTATAATTGGAATTACCTTTTTGTTTTGGACATGTTTTATATTCATCTGGCTTATATTTCAAACATGTTTAAAATTTATTAATTTTCTTTGAAATGACTGAATTTTAAAAGAGAAAATCAAAAAGTACAGGATAGGGAAACCTGCCTTAATTTTCCTGTGTTTTGTGGGTTTTTTTTTTCAATTTTAATTCTTTAATAATTTCTCACAGGTATTCTCTTTACATTATATACATTATCACTGAATTATAAAAATTATATATTTATATTACTCTCAAAAGTCACAAGCTACACTGGGTGTGGTGATCCATGACTTTAATTCCAGCCCTCAGGGGGAAGAGGAATGAGATCCAGGTCAGCTTGGTCTACAAAGTGAGTTCCAGGGAAGCTGGGTCTAGGGAGACCATGCCAAAAAAAAAAAAAAAAATTAAAATAAAATTTAAAATCAAAGCTTATTGAGAAAAACTAATGCATACTGATGATTACAAAAGTCTACTTTTACTTATCTATACTTTTTAAACTTTGTTTATTTTATATATTTTTATTGAATTTTTTATGATTTTCACACAATTTTATATGATAGAATTGATTCCCTCCCCTATCCACACCTTTACCTATTGTTCCCACACCCAATTAAAGAACTTTATTATATATAAAATAAGGTCTATAGAATCTAATTTTTGTCCCCAAATAGCCTTCAGTGTGGGTCCATCCACTGGAGCCTGGTTAACCTACTAAGAGTCCCATGCTTGAAAGAGACTGTCCCTGTCCCTCCCAGAAGCCAGTAGCTGCCAAAATTTCCTTAAGTGGAGTTGGGGTTTCTTACTCACATCCCCATGTCTATGATGGGATTTTTGTCTGATTTGAGCTTGCATACGACTTGCACATGCTGTCACCATTGCTGTGAGTTCCTATGAGTAACTGACCAGCTGTCTGGAAAACACTGTTTCCTTGTGGTGGTTATCCACCACCTCTGGCTCTTACAATTTCCACCTCCTCTTTCACAATGACCCCTGAATCTTGAAAGAGAAGTTTGATATAGGTATCCTATTCAGGGATAAACACACTGCAGCCTCTTGTTCTCTGCCAATTGGACAGTTGTAAGTTTCTGTTTTAATCACCATTTGCTACATAATGACAGTTCTCTGGTGAGAGTTGATATGCATTAATCTAAGGGTGTAAAAATAAGTCATTAGAAGTCAGTTTAATACTATAACTATTTAATAGAAAACTAGTATTAGGCTGTCCCCTATGTCTTGTGACCAGTCTAGCCTCAGGTTCCTAAGTCTGATATCACTATCAGGTATGGGCTACATCCTATGAGGTAGACCATAAATCCAATTATGAGAGAGGTTGGTTACTCATATTTGTACCCCTACAGCACCAGTGGACATATCTTACCAGGCCAATTGCTACAGTCAAGAGGATACCCAGATGGGTAATACTGATAATTTTTCATCCCAGTAGCCTGCATAGCACTTTCTAGCACTATGGACACTAGTCATTAGGGATGAGATTCTAAAATCAACACCATCTTGGGTTCTCCTTATTTGTTCTACAGCTCATGTATATAATATCTTCAGCAATAGAGTCTGTATTAGTCACTTTTCTGTCGCTGTGATAGAAACAGTGACCCAAGCAATTTATAGAAGGGTTTATTTGAGCTTACGGTTCCAGCAGAATTACAGTCCGTCATGGCAGGGAGTCATGGTGTCTGGAGCAGGAGCAGCTGAAGTGAAGCTCTCACATCATCATGCAGGCACAAGAAGCAAGAGGGCAAATGGAGATCTGGCAAGGCTTAAGAACTCTCTAAGCCCAACCCCAGTGACATGCTTCCTCCAGGATAGCCACACTTTCTAAAACCTCCCAAAACAGTGCCATTATCTGGAGACAAAATGTCCCAACACTTGGAGCCTATGGGGGACATTTTCATTCAAACCACCACAGAGTCTTGGCATCAAGTTCTGATGGGTAACCAAGAGCAGGGGCAATGACCAGTAATTTTTGAGGGTGCATGGGACCCCTATCAACAGCTTCTAGAGGAGGAGTCCATTCCTGGCATTGATGATTTTTAACTTACCCTATGATGTCTAGAAGGGGCAATGGCCTCCTGTTGTTATAAGGTAACTCTCTTTTTACATTGCACATGTATATACTTTAGTAAGCTTCTGTAGTACTAGGTTTCCATATAGCTTTTTCTGGAGACTTTTAGTGTTACTGATCCCTCCCATACTATGCTTTTTATCCAACAGTAGTATACAAAAAAATTGAGAATATTAGAAAGAATACTTGTCATGAAAGGTGTTTGTGTGAAAAATGTCCTTAATACAATAAACTCCATAAAAATACAGTAAGGCCCCAAATATTCAATCATGTGTAGAAAAGGAGGTCAAACATGTAGTACACAGTCATGAATGGCACAAACAGTTAAAATGATGAAACACCTTACATATGCCAGCAAACCCAAGGTTTCACAAATCTGGCTACAAGATCCAAATCTACAAAGACCACAACTAATAAAGTATGAAGCCATCCTGTCCAGATTATATAATGAAGGAACAGGCTGGGACTACCTAGGTATGAAATACATCATAAAACAAGAGCCATCTTGAACAGGGACAATGAAGGGAGAGGAAATACATTTGAAAATCACAGAAAAGAAGAAAATAAAATTTTAGGACAGGATCAATTAACCCTACAAGAGTCCAATCCCACATTCTTGTAGTGTTTTCTTCACAAACAAAAAGTCTATCTTTCATATTCACTTGCAAGGATGATTATGAATAAAATTGGGTCACATCAATAGGATGCATAACATGAGATTCTGAAGGCAGAAGGAGCAGCCATGATCCTGCTGCTTCTGACTGTTTTGTTCCAACATGATTTAACAGGGTAGGTTGTTCTACAGCAGCATTCCCATATCCACAGTCCAATGCATAAAGTCAACTGGGAGCAGAAATGGCAACCAGACTTGCACTCCAATGCCAGCAGAGCTTGGTAATACTTACTCATCTAGCTTTCTGTTCCCTTGGCCAAAGCTACAGAAAGGATGTTCTTCATCCGAACCATCCTAGAAGCTGTCTGGTTAGTTCTGCAATGATCTGCAGTCACTTCAGAATACTGAGCTAGATAGGATAGGGAGAGATCCCTCCCTCAAGTCCCTTCAGTGATGTTTTTAATAACCCAATTCCCTGTATTAAATTCCTTCTTTAAAATTTTGCTGTTACATTCATACTGATCGTGTTAACCAGTAGGGGTAAAACAAGCACATCTTGCACCAATCAAGGGACCAGCATCAAGTTGTAATTCCTTCTATTACTTCAAAATAAGCACAAGCACCACTTTTTTAAAGTTCCAATTTCTCTTAAGAATTACAACTTTGACCAAAAAAAGTAATTTTATTAACTATCAAACCCTGACTTACAAGGTAGTTTGTTTGTGACTGAATAAAACTGCATAAAGTTTGTATATAAAAAGCAAGTTGAAAATGTCTAGCCAATGTTGGAGTTGCAAGATTAAACTAGTATTTTTTTGTTTAATTATTTTCATTTAATGTGTATGAGTGTATTGCCTGCATATACATAAGTACACCCATGTCATGCAATGCCCACAGAAAGCAGAAGAGGGTGTCAGATCCCCTGGAACTGGAGTTACCACAAGAGCAGCCAGTGCTCTTAACTGCTGAACCATCTCTCCAGCCCTTAAACTAGTATTTTTTATAGAATAACATTTTTACAGGAAAGCACAAATAAAAAAAAAACAAACCTAAATTATAAATATTTAAACTTTGGTTTGACCTGCCACTGCAGAGTATTGGTTGACAAAATTGATAGGGAATTTTCATCCAAACTCAGAACTTTTAAAAAAACATGTGCATCTATTAGCAGATTTGATATTTTAACATAGTATTCTTCCACAATATTGAAGTTTTTTTTTCAA